CAGGTTTTTTTATTTTTATTTTTTATTTCTGGGTACTTGTTGGTCTCTGTGAAGCTTAAGAGATTATTAGTGATAAGGAATTTATGTATAAATCTGTTGTATAGTAATTATCTGGTTTTCTTTTGCATTTTCTGAAAGTAAATAGTTATTTTTATCCTGGAAATTTGTTTTGATCCTGGAAGTGGATGAATAGTTAGTTTGATCCTGGAACTTCGTTTTCCATAAAATTTGGTTTGCTTTTGAAATCCAAAACACAAGTAATGCTAATAAACAAAACTTGGAAGAATAATACCATCGAGATGCTTCCTTATTCATGAAAAAGTAACACGTGTTCAGATCTTGCTTTTTCTTTATTAAAGTTTGTGATACTATTACGATACTTTTCCTGACATATGTTGATGATCTGTTGGCAGGAATATTCTATAATTTGTGATTTAGTCTTCACAGTTTCAGCACTGAACTGATGAACTGTCTATGTCATTTATGTTAAGTGGTGAACAGAGTATATATGGCTTCTTTCTTGTCTGGTGATTCCTCTAATTATGGAATGAGTGAAGGTGGTTCCTATAAACACACTCATGACATATCAGATGAAGGAGCCAATTGGTACTTTTCCAGGAAGGAAATTGAAGAAAACTCTCCATCTAAACGAGATGGCATTGACTTAAAAAAAGAGGCATATCTGCGCAAGTCATACTGTACTTTTTTACAAGACCTGGGGATGAGACTTAAAGTGTGAGTAAGCCTTTTCCATAAATTTCTTTTCGTTCACTTTTTATCTTTAAACTAAGTGTTATTGTTGTTTGATTGTCATTCTATGTTTTTTATGTAAACCATTGTGCATCTTCCTCTATTATACCCTGTTGAAAAGGAATTGCTAATGGGTCTAGCTTTGGGTGTGGATGAGAGCTTTGCTGTTTCAGTGCCCGAATATATTTATAACATACAATGTTAGTTAACCGGACAAAGTCAGTAATTGTGTCTTCTGACACCTAGCGGAAGATTATTATATTCTGTATAAGTAGTATGTACATGCGAAAAATTAGGTAGGTTTTAAAGGGCTAGTCATCAGCACTGAAATTTCTATGCCTTAAAGGGCTAGTCAAAATGCTTTTTAACTTCTAAAACGGAAATATTGAATTCAATCTTACTCAATATTTTGGTATTGAACTTTACGAGCATGTTAGTTATTGTAACTGAGTATCATTGTAGTTCTCCTACTGAATACTAGATTTAATACCATTTTCTTTTGTGACTTAAATTCTACCACGTAATTTATGATAATAATTTCTGATCCTGAACATTTTCTTATGCAGACCTCAGGTAACAATTGCGACAGCCATAATTTTCTGCCACCGATTCTTCCTTTGCCAATCCCATGCAAAGAATGATAGATGGGTGAGTATGAGAAACCTTGAATGGCCCCCAACCCCTACAGTTTCTTATATCTAAGTTATCTTTAAACTTATATGTAATGCATTGTGTGCCTGTTTCATAATTCACACACTAACATGCGCGCCCACGCACACTAACACACCCACAGAGGCCCCATAAAGGATCTCGTCTGTCAGGATTTGAGAGGCTGTTCAAACAGCCCCTCACAAGTCATATTCTGTAAAATAAGGTCCTTTTGATGTTATGTGTGTGTGCGTGTGTAGCAGTCACAAGTGTTTGTGGTACCCAATGAGGAAGTAAGATGTTTATCCCCACATATATTCTTACTGGTAGTCATTTGTGAGTGACTCAAAAGAATGGAAACCTGAGTCTGCTTGGATTATGCTTTTCATATTTATGGGATTTTTTTATGTTGGGTATACTATAATTCCCGAAAGTACATGACATGAACAGCAAGGTTTAAGGTCATACTTAAACATATGACTTTAGGTCATATTCTAAGTTGAAATGCACAAAGTTCTCATCTAACAAGTAATAGGAAAATGACTTCTAAAATCGAAAAAAGGGAAGTTTTTTTCACTTCACTAAATTCTGTTATACTGTTATGCAGACCATCGCAACGGTGTGTATGTTTCTTGCTGGGAAGGTTGAAGAAACTCCCAGGCCGCTGAAAGATGTTATTCTTGTCTCATATGAAATTATTTATAAAAAGGATCCTGCAGCAGTTCATAGAATCAAGCAAAAGGCAGTTATCAACTAATCACTCTAGTTCTTGTACCTGCCATTGCTCTACTTTATCAATAAAAAATATTTATTTGATGTTACTGATTTTACTTGTTTAGGTCTTCGTAATTTTTTTTATATGTAATCCTGATATGTGAACCATTATTCTTCTTCTTTATTGTTTCCCCCAAGTTCGCAGCTGCTTACTATTAGCCCTCAGGTTATAACATATCCAAGTGCCTACTTACCTCTATAGGTTAAGTACAAAGACTCTGCATACCCATGTTGCAATAGTAATGTGGAGTCAGCGCTAAATCACCTAGATTGAAAATCAACTTGCTTTTCCTCCTGTCTACTTCTCACCTCCACGTTGCTTTTCCATTTTCTTAATATTTCTTTTATCCAAAGAACATACTTTTGGATGTTCCCCAGATATGTGCACTCTATCCAAATCCAATGTTTGGTTTATTGTTTGTTTTGTAATGCAATTACGTTTCTATTATTCTGTGTAACTGTTTAGTTTATTCATACATTTGCAACGATCATGCAGGAGGTATATGAACAGCAGAAAGAATTAATTTTACTCGGAGAGAGGGTTGTTCTTGGAACCCTTGCTTTCGATTTTAATGTACACCATCCATATAAACCCCTGGTTGAGGCAATAAAGAAATTCAAAGTAGCTCAAAATGCCCTTGCCCAAGTTGCATGGAATTTTGTAAATGATGGGTATGGATCTCTTAGTTCATTTGTCATTCTTGTTCTTGGCCTTTCTTCAGTTTCTTCTTGCTTGAACTTGGAATGTGGCATGCAGACTTCGGACATCACTTTGCTTGCAATTTAAGCCCCACCACATTGCGGCTGGTGCCATTTTTCTTGCTGCTAAGTTCCTCAAAGTAAAGCTTCCATCAGATGGCGAGAAGGTCTGGTGGCAAGAGTTTGATGTCACCCCACGCCAATTGGAGGGTGGGTGTCCTTGTTTTATTTCAATTACTGATGCTACAGAGCAATCAAAATTGTCCTTTGCCATCCTCTTTTTCTTCATGTGATGAATATACTCCATCACTCCACTCTTCCATTACTTCTGGACCTTTTATTCTTTGTGTCAATCAGTGTCAAACCAATCAATAACACAGAGAAAATGTTTCGGAGAGTAGTGAATTCTCTCCTTCTCTCCCCACCTCCTACCTTTGTAAAATTCTTGTGATCATGTCTAAATTATTAAATAGGATTCTTTTTGAATATGGTGGTATGAGTTTTATTATGCTGATATGAGTTCTAATTGACAATTATTTCTGCAGAGGTTAGCAATCAAATGCTGGAACTATATGAACAAAATCGGTTACTGCCTTCCAGTGACGTTGAAGGAAGTTCAGTGAGTGGTGCTATTCATCAGGCTTCTGCAAAACCTACGACCAGCAATGATGAACAAGCAACAGGCAACAGTCATTTGCATGCTGGAGTTACAAGACCTGGGACCTCAAAGCTAGCATCGAGGCAAGGGGGTGAGCAGTCATATGCTGAGAATGGTGGACCTGCTAGAACAACCCAAAGTCAAAATAATGACTACAGAAATGCTGAATTGAAAAGTGCCGCAGAGCAGAATATGGATGCTGAACTTCAACCCCCTGAAGCGCCACTGCACCAGGAGAAGGTGGGTGAAGCTCATGTATCAAGGTTTGTATCAGAGGGACATAGTGAAGATGGTCAAGAAAGAGAGAGCAATGTCGGGAAAGGTGAAACAAGGGAAGGACGGGAACCAAAGGACAAACATTTTGGCCGAAATCTGGATAATAGGCAAAGTGCACATGGCCGATCACCTCAGGAAGCTATAAAAAAAATTGACAAGGACAAGGTAAGGGCAGCACTTGAGAAACGAAGGAAAGCTGTTGCCGATGTCACTCGAAAGACAGATTTTCTGAATGAGGATGATTTGATTGAGAAAGAACTGGAAGATGGTATTGAACTGGCTTCAGGGAGTGAGAAAAACAAGCGGGACCGGAGGCAAAGCTGGCCGAAGCCCTCAAATAGACCAGAACATGGAGATGGACCACATTTAAACAATATAGAAGAAGGTGAGGTATCGGCACTTGATTCAGGGCAAGTATTTCATTCACCCAAGTCAAGCAGTCGCAAGAGAAAGGCAGGAAGCCCACCAGATGATCACCGTAATCACCGCAATCACAGTGATTATACAGATGATCGTAACAGAGTGGGCCGGGTTGGACACACAGAAAGAGATAACAAAAGGCATTCACAGGAGAATCATGTGTGAAGTTGTACTTCACGTCCGCTGCTTGCCCCGAGGATTTGATTCAATTCTCATTTTCTGTTCACGTCCAAGATTATCGCGATTTCTTTGGTGATGATCATGGGTAGATCGTTTGATGTTTTTGACCTACTTCCATGTATACTACGTTCTCGGCCGTTCAGAAATATCGAAGAGGCTGATCTAAGCCCCAAAAGGACTCTAGCTAAAAGGTTCCTTTTGAATCTCATGTCTTACCAAACAAGTTTGGATGTAAACTCTGTACGATAGGTTAGATGATGCTAATTTTATTGTAGAATCATAGCAGTAAAAGTAGAGAAGAAACCCTTTTGGATATTCTGTGTAGACAGTGCGGTTGCTATATCTATTGAAACTCCTGTCAATGGAATTAAATTGAATGAATATTTGTTCTTTTGCTAGATCACAGTTAAACGTTATTTTTCTGCTTAAACTCGGTAAATGAGAGCCGTTATTTGCACTTCAAAAAGTTATTTGCACTCCACTCCCTTGAATGCAAAATAAGGAGAGCGCGATATGATTTTTACAGTGTTAATAATTATTCTGTGTTTAATTCTAAATGGCGGGGATTAAAAATTTAATACCAAACACAATTTCCTTTCTCTGTTAAAAAAGTTCATGATATTTCATTCTTCCCCCGTGATTTGATTCAAAAGTTCAGACACAGACCTAAATCCCAAATCCAATTTTTTTATAATTTGCTTCAGACACAGACCTAAACCCTATAATTTGTTTGGTAGAAAAGTACACTCCTACAAAAAGAAAAACATGTCTGAAGCAACATTCGGAGGTTAAAATTATACATCTCGTGCCATTTCTCGGGATCAAGATGTCATCATCGCCTTCTATGTTCTTTTTCCCTTGTACCTCTATGGGCATCAACATCTGCACTTCTTTTCTTATGGACTGGGTCGTCTCTCTTGTCTCGACGTTCACCATCTACATATCTACCTCTATGGGCATCAACATCTGCACTTCTTTTCTTATGGACTGGGTCGTCTCTCTTGTCTCGACGTTCACCATCTACATATCTCTTTTTATACTCTGTTTCATCCCTCCTCTCTACACTGCTCTTTCTATAATCTCCACTGTCACTACTCCGTCCCGCTAGTCTATCACTGTCTGCACTCCTCTTTCTGTAATTTATGTCACCCCTCTCACCATCATCTGCATATCTCTTTCCACTCTCCCGCTGATCGACCTTATTATCTATGTTTCTCTGCCTCTCCTTGTGATTCTCTCTATCACTGTCTGTACTCCTCCTATAGTCTTTGTCACCCCTCCTGTCTGCATAGATACCATCATCTGCATCTCTCTTTCTGCTCTCACGCTGATCTGTCTTGTCATCTGTGTCTCTTTGTCTGTCCTTACGCCTATCTCTATCCCTTCCGTCTTCAGGATGATCTCGACCACTTCTGCTTCCACTGGATTGATTTGCTTTACCGTCTTGACTTGAATCCTCTCTGTACCCTCTACTTCTGTCACTGTGCCTATCCCTATAACTTGAGTCTTTGTTTTCTCGATCCCTATGCCTTGGTTCCTTGGAACTCCGCCTATTCATCCTTTGTTTCTCAACTCCGTGGTCATTATTGTGACCTTGACTTCTCTTTTCTTGCCTTGGAGTTTCCGGAGTGTCTCCATCAAATACCATATCATAACTACAAGAAACATTTCATATCAGAAATATAAAACGTGTGTGTTTGACATGCGTGAGAGAGAGAGAGAGAGAGAGAGCGAGCACGCAAGATTACCAACCTAGAGTTCTTGCCGCCACCACGCTGTCCATTATCATCCTTCAATATGTACTTTTGAGGTTGCTGTGTGTTGGCAGGATCACCAGTGCAATCCTTGGCAATGTGATCAAGTGCACCACATTTGAAGCACCCTTTGCCTACAGCCACAAAAAATAAAACTTGATAAACTCCCAGGTATTCGAACTAGAGGATAAAAAATTCAATACAATTTCAAATACAGGATACCTTTTTGACGATAAATCCAGGAATTTTACTAAAACCAATGATAAAAAGGTCGTACCCAGTACACAAGGCTTCCGCTTTACGCAGGGTCTGGGAGAGGTGAATGTCGGCTAGCCTTACCCCCATTTATGGAGAGGCTGCTCCCAAGTCTCGAACCCGAGACCTACCGCTCATGGGCGAAGGCACTTGCCATCGCACCAATGATAATGTAGCAAATTCTTTCCAATAAAAAGACATCCAAGGAATTTGCTAAAACATTTATTTTATCCAATTTCCTCTTTAATTACCGTATTTGAATTCTTTTACTCATAAAATCATGACCAGAAACCCAACTCCAAACCATCTAGGCGCCCTGGAGCATGTAAGCTTATCTATTTTGATCTGTCAGCAGAGTAACTGTTACTCACTCAGGTAGTTATCAATCAAATATAAGTTGCATGAAACTTACCCCTTTAAAACGATGATTGATCCAAGACATTACTAACTCATTTCCAATTTAGAAGTTTACAAATTTAGAAGTTTACATAATTTTGCTTTGTATTTTTCCGCTAACAACTAGGCTGATACATTGACCTTTACTAAGAATGAAACAACTTCTGGATATGGACCCCGAAGGATATTCCATCATGCAAGAAAACACACTTGAGCAACCTATTACAGATATGTCACTTCTACAATCGATTTTTCACAACTATGACATACGAAGTTAATGTTATTTATTTCACAGCACAACAAACTAGTCCATATGTTGGCTAAGTTGATTTTCATAGGTCCACTTCAATTTTGCCACAGGTAGGCCTAACTGATTATGATAGTCATAAAAATAAAAAAAGAACGAGAGAACAATAACACATACTGAACAGAACAAAAAATAGCATACAGAAAGACGTACAAAACATTCCTATGAATAGCAGTTGATTAAACAAGCTTCATCTGAGCACACAGTGAAAAAATGGACAAAAAGAAACCAAGCATATATGTTTTCCGCATGCTTCAAAATCTATACCTTTGCCCTTTTGATCTTTGCGCCTGTACTGGGACCACAGTTTTGCAACACTTTGACTAAAATCCACGTGTATTCTCCGGTCATCAATCAAAGCATTATCCATCTACCAAAAAGAAGTCATATAAGACGAGAAAAGCAAAATGGGTTCATATATAGCACATATTCAAATAATTGCACTCTATTTTTTAAAGGAACTGCATCCATATGAGAAGCCAAAAATATTCAGCAAGATTTACGTAACCTCTGCAACAAGAATTTTTGCAATCCTAACTTGAAAGGACTATCTGAGCATGCCTTAAAAATACATGTGGAAATGCAACAGAAAGGATATTAAATCTATAGAGCAAAGCAGAAAAATGTCAAAGGGGTTTGTTGGTAGGGCAACAAAGTTTCTCTTTTCCCCATGATCATAACTACAAGATTTCAATCATAATGAACTCTATAAAAGTTGTTACTCACTACAGCTAAGAACTAAAATAAGAATCAAATGGCCGGAGCATCAACTAGGATTGCCAGGCATGGAAGCAGGAAATGTATATTAGATCACAGTACCTTAAAATATGCTTGTTCGCATGCTTCTCTGGTCTCAAATTCTGGCATTACAAATGTCATAGTGATTAGGTTTTGTCCTCAGAAATGTGAATATTCATTCAAAAACTTTAAAAGGAGATTAAATAGAAAGAACATAAGCAGGACAAAGAGCGTTATAGTACTTAAGGTTCATGGTTGAGCATTAAATTATGAACAGAATTTAGAAGGACAGAAATTTTGGTCGGAACTCATCAAACAAAGGTGCTAAAACCCTACATTTTCCAGCATAACAGTTAAGAGATGGTGTATTTCCTACTACAAACAGAAAATAAGGAATCAAATATAATATACTCACCTATGAATGCATAGCATAAGCTATCTCCAGTCTTGAAATCACGGATTATATCAGCCCTGCCATCATTCACATATCATTACATACACACCTTTGCAATCCACAACCCACCAACCCCAAAGCCTACTAATAATTAACAAACAAGATCAATACTTACGCTTGAACAGTTCCAAAACGTGAAAAAATTGTGTGCAAGTCCTCATCCTGCATAGAAAGCACCAGAGCAAAAATTATACGCACCACTCCGCATGTTAAAACCATGAAAGAGGAATCGGGGAAAAGAAGAGAGCTACTTACTTCAGTGACTGGATTCAATTTACAAACAAATAGCACATTGTCGGGAGGTTTTATCTCAACATCAGGAATATCCCCAATCTGTTACAGATATGACAAGCAAAATGGCAAAAGAGGATTAACATGTGATTGCACAACAGCACACTCTGAAACTAGAAGAATGGGATTATGATTGAGGTGCTTACACTCTCAAGTACAACCGCACTGGAATGTGCGTCTTTGGCACGAAGACGCTCTTCAAGTTCTAGTGGACCTAGTTGTTCATCCAGAGGAACCCAGTCATCTTCAAGCCGCACATTATCATCAACCTAGTCAAGAGGGAGATGAGTAAGACCATTGTTAATTTTTTTAATGTATATTAATGGTTAGCTTGTATCCAAACAGCTTAAGCTTTTGGGAATGGTTGTAAATTAACAAACTTTATGCTACAGATCCGCAACCATGATTTCAAGTGTCATGAGTAATTTATTTCTCATCTTTATCTTCATTTTGGATATCAGAGTGTCCGATAGATATGGAATGACAATGGAAATTAGTCACTACCTCATCCCTTGGTTTTCCTTCAGGGGAGGCATCGGGAATTAACTCAGCTAGTTGTGAAGGATCATCAAAAGGATCATCCAATATGTAAGTATGTTTGATTCTGCTAACACAAATAAATATGACAGTGTCAATCTAGCTTGAGACAAGCAGGAAGTGAAAAATATATGCAAGGAAAAACAGGAACTGACCGGATATTCTTAAAGGGTCTGTTGTTCTCATCCACATAAGCCTCATTGATCCTTGTCAATGTCTCAAACCCCTCTGCTATCTCACCAAAAATCTTCAATAACATACATTCCTTGAGTAATGCCGGACATCAAACAAAAAACAAAAGAGAAAAATCCCTACTAGCAGAAGGCAGGGGAGAAGACGTAGCTTGGCTTATACTTGAAATTACCAAACCAAAAAGACTATAATTATCCATTTTCTTTTGGGTTATTTAGGGGTAGAAAAACTAAATAATCACCAGACATGCATACACCATCTGCTTACATATTTTAATGGAAGACGGTATCTACTATCATAGATATCTAATACACCCTATATAAAAGCACAAGGAAGGATAATCATGTAAACCCATCAATCAGAGAGAGGACTATTGCACAGGAAAAATCGTATACTCACGTATGAAACACAAACTCATAAGCACCTATGCATAGGAAGGTGATAAAAAATTTCAACTCTCCACATTAAGTCAGTGCATCAGTTAATTGACATCCCTCTCCTACTACCCGGCATTTATCAACCAGATGTAGCAACTAAGAAATATTGCTAATTTTTTTATACATTATATTCTTGAAGACATTTAGACTGGGAAAACTATCGTATATGCCATATAGTTGACAAAGTTGGGTAAACAAAATTCCAAGACATACAGTTTTAAAAGATTGGTAGATGGGACTAGAGACTTACTGTGTGCTTTCCATCAAGATAGTCTAGATCATCACGCAATGTCAAGTAGAACTGGAAAAAAAAAAGTAATCAGTGCATCACCACAATGTTATTGAAAATGAAAAGTTCACCATCCAAAAAGCATAAGTTTAACAAAATACACAACAACAACAACAACAACAACAAAGCATTTTCCCACTAAGTGGGGTCGGCTATATGAATCCTAGAACGCCATTGCGCTCGGTTTTGTGTCATGTCCTCCGTTAGATCCAAGTACTCAAGTCTTTTCCTAGGGTCTCTTCCAAAGTTTTCCTAGGTCTTCCTCTACCCCTTCGGCCCTGAACCTCTGTCCCGTAGTCACATTTTCGAACCGGAGCGTCAGTAGGCCTTCTTTGCACATGTCCAAACCACCGGAACCGATTTTCTCTCATATTTCCTTCAATTTTGGCTACTCCTTCCTACTTTACCTCGGATATCCTCATTCCCAATCTTATCCTTTCTCGTGTGCCCATACATCCCACGAAGCATCCTCATCTCCGCTACACCCATTTTGTGTACGTGTTGATGCTTCACCGCCCAACATTTTGTGTCATACAACATCGCTGGCATTATTGCCGTCCTATAAAATTTTCCCTTGAGCTTCAGTGCCCTACGACGGTCACACAACACGCCGGATGCACTCTTACACTTCATCCATCCAGCTTGTATTCTATGGTTGAGATCTCCATCTAAGTCTCCGTTCTTTGCAAGATAGATCCTAGGTAGCGAAAACGGTCACTTTTTGTGATCTTCGCTAGATTGCTCCGGTCATTAGTGTGGATAAGTATATAAATGGATAGAGATAGGAAAGCAAACACAAGATGTACGTGGTTCACCCAGATTGGCTACGTCCACGGAATAGAGGAGTTCTCATTAATTGTGAAGGGTTTACACAAGTACATAGGTTCAAGCTCTCCTTTAGTGAGTACAAGTGAATGATTTAGTACAAATGACATTAGGAAATATTGTGGGAGAATGATCTTGTAACCACGAAACTTGTAAGTACCGGAGTGTGGTATCGTCTTGACTTGCCTTATCTGTCTCATAGGTAGATGTGGCATCTTCTCTGGAAGTACTCTTCCTCCATCCAGGGGTGGTATCTGTAACTGGTGGAGATGCACAAGGTAATGTATCAATTTCACTTGAAGCTTACTTGTAGTTTCAGGCTTGGTCAAGCGCGATACAAACCATGTAGTAGGAGTCCCCGCCGAGCTAGGGGATCTGCTGAAAGAGGTGACAGACAAGGTAAGCAATCAGAGCTCCGGCTGATTGTTCACATTCTCCCTATCTTGCAGGCAGCATGAAGGATAAAGAGAAGAAAAATGAGAAGAGATGATATGGGATACTTTTGCTTTTGAAGAAGTAACTTTCCACAGGCTTATTCTTGAACTGGGCTGGAGGGTTTTCTGGTTTCCTCCAGAGAATAAGGCCGACTGAAGAATTTGAGGGTCAAAACAAGTCCATCAAATCTAGAGTACGTTCGACCCTGCTGATATGGGATACTTTTGCTTTTGACAGAGTAGTGGATATATCGGCACGTGTGCTGTTACGCTTGTCTCCACATGCTTCCTTGTATCCTTCTCACTTGCCCTATCTGTTCCTCAGGCAGATGCGGTATCTTCTCTGGAAGCATAAGATGTTGAAGATGAGTACTCGAGAGCAATGCCAGGTAAGTAATCAGGTAAGGGGTTCCAGGCAGTCAGTTCCTGGCTGGAAGCTTGATTCCAAGTGCTGACCGATTGCTCTCTTTCTCCTTGTCTTGCAGGTAAGAACAAGGCCAAAGGAAAAGACAAGGAAAAAGCATGATATGGGATACTCTTGCTTTTAACCCTGATGATATGAGATATTCTTGCTCTAGTATAGCTTGTTTACAGAGGTGTTATCGGGGGGAAAGAAAGCTGAATATTTCAAAAGGCTTCGTTGGGAGTGCCCTCTCAGATAAGAGGAAGGGTTGAGCATTTTTGCAGGTCTGCCTGTCCGTTGGGGATGGAGGTCGACATATATAGGAGTCTCCCTAACATCAAGTAATAATGCTATTCCTTTACCCTGCTTGGTCATAGCACGGTAGTGGGAGCTGCCAGCTTCACATGTTTTAACTCTGTCAAAGCACTTTGAAAAAGTGGTCTGTGGTATCTGGAAAGCTGATGTTGCGTGTGAAGATTACAGACAAGCTTTATCCAAGGAGATCCAGCTCTTGAAGTTGGGAAAGTGGTGCCTCTTCGGTTTTTGAACAAGCAATCCTGTCGGGGATCTGGCTCTCAAGATTCGGAGAACGATGCCTCTTCGATTTTTGAGAAAGCAATCCTGCTGTGGGTCTGGCTCTCGAGATTCGGAGAGCGGTGTCTCTTCGATTTTTGAGAAAGTAATCATGTTGGGAGTATGGCTCTCAAGATTCGGAGGGCGGTGCCTCTTCGATTTTGGAGCAAGCAATCTTGTTGGGAGTGTTTTCTCGAATGTGAGTAAAGGTTAGGCATGTTTGCTAGTCTACCTTGCCACGAAGCACAGAGGTTGACACACAGGGACTTTCCAATTATCCAGCAGTGGTACTGTTCCTTTACCCTCTCTTCGATTTTTGAGAAAGTAATCATGTTGGGAGTCTGGCTCTCGAGATTCGGAGGGCGGTGCCTCTTCGATTTTGGAGCAAGCAATCTTGTTGGGAGTGTTTTCTCGAATGTGAGTAAAGGTTGGGCATGTTTGCTAGTCTACCTTGCCATGAAGCACATAGGTTGACACACCGGGACTTTCCAATTATCCAGCAGTGGTACTGTTCCTTTACCCTTGTGGGTAATAATATGGTAGCTAGACCTTCAAAATTTATGTGTCTAAACTTTGTTAATGTTGTTTCTTTGCTATTCTTTTACCCTTCTTGGTCAGAGCGATGTAGTGGGAGCTGCAAGCTTCACGTGTCTCAACTTTGTCAGAGAACTTTGGCAAAGTTATCTGTGGTACCCATGAGCTACTGTTGCGTGTGGGAAGTGGGTGATTGAACAGTACGATTCATGTGCTTTCTACTTCGCCAGAAATCTTCGACAGAATGGCCATAATTTCCGCAAAGCTGAGTGTGTGTGTGACAGGTGTTGACAAGGCTGGAAAAGTAGGTGCCTCTTCGATTTCTGAGATCGGCCCTCGTGGTCTCTGAGCAGCCCAGCTTTTTAGAAAGCAAGCCTCTTCGATTTCTGAGATCGGCCTTCGTGGTCTTTGAGCAGCCCAGCTTTTGAGAAAGCAAACGCCTCTTCGATTTCTGAGATCGACCCTCGTGGTCTCTGAGCAGCCCAGCTTTTGAGAAAGCAAACGCCTCTTCGATTTCTGAAGCTTCGTCGAGTGCAGATTTTTATAGGGGTTGACATTAATTTCCAAAGCACACTTGAATATCCACCAGTAGAAGCTCCATTCTTGCACTTCTAAGATCTTGATTTGTCCGACCTCTTCTCTCTTCAACACCTTTGAAAATGTCTGGCCCCTTCGACCGTCGTTTTGGTGGCTAGGAACCTTCTCACTCCCAAAGATAACAGACTACTTTCCAAACGGTCTGATGAGTTGGCTGTTAAGGATTCTCTGGCTCTCAGTGTTCAGTGTGCAGGTTCTGTGTCTAATATAGCCCAACGCCTATTTGCTCGAACCCGCCAAGTTGAATCATTGGCGGCTGAAGTGATGAGTCTCAAACAGGAGATTAGAGGGCTCAAGCATGAGAATAAACAGTTGCACCGGCTCGCACATGACTATGCTACAAACATGAAGACGAAGCTTGACCAGATGAAGGAATCTGATGGTCAGGTTTTACTTGATCATCAGAGATTTGTGGGTTTGTTCCAAAGACATTTATTGCCTTCGTCTTTTGGGGCTGTACCGCGTAATGAAGCTCCAAATGATCAACCTCTGATGCCTCCTCCTTCTAGGGTTCTGTCCAGTACTGAGGCTCCGAATGATCCCCCTCCGGTGCCTTCTCTTTCTGGGGCTCTACCGACTGCTGAGACTTCTCCTAAGCAACCTTTGTGAAGGCTCCCTCTTGTTTGTTTATTTTGACTCAAGTATATGTACATATTTGTAACTTATCGGGGATACCAATAAATAAGCTTTCCTTCATTTCAACGTATTGTGTTAAATACACCAAAGCCTTCTTCGCTAAGTTCTTTGAATTTTCTTTTGTTGAAGCTTGTATGTTGAAGCTTTGTGAGTGGAGCATGTAGGTTGAGGTAGTGTTCCCTTAATTTCCCGAGTGAGGAAAACTTCTCGGTTGGAGACTTGGAAAATCCAAGTCACTGAGTGGGATCGGCTATATGAATCTTAGAACGCCATTGTGTTCTGTCCTGTGTCATGTCCTCCGTTAGATCCAAGTACTCTAAGTCTTTTCTTAGGGTCTCTTCCAAAGTTTTCCTAGGTCTTCCTCTACCCCTTCGGCCCTGAACCTCTGTCCCATAGTCGCATCTTCTAATCGGAGCGTTAGTAGGCCTTCTTTGCACATGTCCAAACCACCGTAACCGATTTTCTCTCATTTTTCCTTCAATTTCGGCTACTCCTACTTTACCCCGGATATCCTCATTCCTAATCTTATCCTTTCTCGTGTGCCCACACATCCAACGAAGCATCCTCATCTCCGCTACACCCATTTTGTGTACGTGTTGATGCTTCACCGCCCAACATTCTGTGCCATACAGCATCGCCGGCCTTATTGCCGTCCTATAAAATTTTCCCTAGAGCTTCAGTGGCATACGGCGGTCACACAACACGCCGGATGCACTCTTCCACTTCATCCATCCAGCTTGTATTCTATGGTTGAGATATCCATCTAATTCTTCGTTCTTTTGCAAGATAGATCCTAGGTAACGAAAACGGTCGCTCTTTGGTATTTCTTGATCTCCGATCCTCACCCCTAATTCGTTTTGGCCTCCATTTGCACTGAACTTGCACTCCATATATTCTGTCTTTGATCGGCTTAGGCGAAGACCTTTATATTCCAACACTTCTCTCCAAAGGTTAAGCTTTGCATTTACCCCTTCCTGAGTTTCATCTATCAACACTATATCGTCTGCGAAAAGCATACACCAAGGAATATCATCTTGAATATGTCCTGTTAACTCATCCATTAAAAGGTCGTACCCAGTGCACAAGGCTCCCGCTTTACGCAGGGTCTGGGAGAGGTGAATGTCGGCTAGCCTTACCCCCATTTATGGAGAGGCTGCTCCCAAGTCTCGAACCCGAGACCTACCGCTCATGGGCGAAGGCACTTGCCATCGCACCAAGTGCGACCTCTTGTTAACTCATCCATTACCAACGCAAAAAGATAAGGACTTAAGGATGAGCCTTGATGTAATCCTACAGTTATGGGAAAGCTTTCGGTTTGTCCTTCATGAGTTCTTACGGCAGTCTTTGCTCCTTCATACATATCCTGTATAGCTTGGATATATGCTACTCGTACTCCTTTCTTCTCTAAAATCCTCCAAAGAATGTCTCTTGGGATCCTATCATACGCTTTTTCCAAATCTATAAAGACCATGTGTAAATCCTTTTTCCCATCTCTATATCTTTCCATCAATCTTCGTAAGAGATAGATTGCCTCCATGGTTGAGCGCCCTGGCATGAACTCGAATTGGTTGTCCGAAACCTGTGTCTCTTGCCTCAATCTATGCTCAATGACTCTCTCCCAGAGCTTCATTGTATGACTCATTAGCTTAATACCCCTATAGTTCATGCAATTTTGTACATCGCCCTTATTCTTGTAGATAGGCACCAAAGTGCTCGTTCGCCACTCATTTGGCATCTTCTTCGTTTTCAAAATCCTATTGAAAATGTCAGTGAGCCATGTTATACCTGTCTCTCAACTTTCCACACTTCGATTGGTATATCGTCTGGGCCTACTGCTTTTCTATGCTTCATCTTCTTCAAAGCTACAACCACTTCTTCCTTCCGGATTCTACGATAAAAAGAGTAGTTTCTACACTCTTCTGAGTTACTCAACTCCCCTAAAGAAGCACTCCCTTCATGTCCTTCATTGAAAAGATTATGAAAATAACCTTTCCATCTGTCTTTAACCGCGTTCTCTGTAGCAAGAACCTTTCCATCCTCATCCTTGATGCACCTCACTTGGTTTAGATCCCTTGTCTTCTTTTCCCTTGCTCTAGCTAGTTTATAGATATCCAACTCTCCTTCTTTAGTATCTAATCGCTTATACATATCGTCATAAGCCGCTAACTTAGCTTCTCTCACAGCTTTCTTCGCCTCTTGCTTCGCTTTTCTATACCTTTCACCATTTTCATCGGTCCTATCCTTGTATAAGGCTTTACAACATTCCTTCTTAGCCTTCACCTTTGTTTGTACCTCCTCATTCCACCACCAAGATTCCTTTTGGTGTGGGGCAAAGCCCTTGGACTCTCCTAATACCTTTTTTGCTACTTTTCGGATACAACTAGCCATGAAATCCCACATTTGGTTAGCTTCCCCCTCTCTATCCCACACACACTGGGTGATTACTTTCTCTTTGAAAATGGCTTGTTTTTCTTCTTTTAGATTCCACCATCTAGTCCTTGGGCACTTCCAAGTCTTGTTCTTTTTTCTCACTCTTTTGATATGTACATCCATCACCAACAAGTGATGTTGATTAGCCACGCTCTCTCCTGGTATAACTTTGCAATCCTTACAAGTTATACGATCCCCTTTCCTCAAGGTTTAAAAAAATACACAACTCAACTAAATGAAACCCTATTCTCAATAAGATTAATGCAGGGAAAACAAACTTATACCAGCAAAGCAATAATCTTATACCTGAGAAGCATTGAGATTCTCTCCCGCACTAGCCATTGCAACCGTGCCTGTCTTAGAATGCTTCAAATCAAGATGAATCTCATCGTTGAAAAAGCGCGCCTGATCACCATATAAAAATCTGAAGGTAGAACATGGTGCAAGGTGAGTTCAAGAGTAGACAGAAGAGAAAAACATTTAAATATTTCAGCATAACTAAAAGATTCTATGTGAGATATGCATAGTGCGAAACAGAGTGTGCAGATTCCTTACTTGTAGACGGAATCGCCACCAGAACCCGTTCCGGTTGGGTCACCAGTCTGTGCAGTAAAATCCTTCTGAACCGTGTGAAAAAGACACCCATTATAATACTTTATCCTGAATCAATATATAGGTTAAAAAAAAGAGGCAAAAAATAGTAATGAGATGATATTCTAAAATAGAAATAAAAACTACAAAACCACTGATTCATAATTAAGCTAGGTTCTAAATAAAAATTCAATTCCAAAGAACCATAACAATGGTGTACCAAAAATTCTGAGGCAAGTAAGATACTTTATGAAATCAACAAATATCTGTAAAAATGTGTAAGCAATTCACACTATAACCTAGTAATTGAACATGGCCGAGTAGAATCTCAAAACTCAACAAATATTGGAAAATCCTCTACAAAAAACAAAAAAAAAACAAAAAGAAAAAAAGAAAAAAAAGAAATCAACATTAACCCACTTTTACTTTCTCAAACTTCATATATCCATAGCTGAAGTAAAAAAGATTGTTGATTGCTCAAAAAATATACGAAATTTGACCCAATAAAAAGGAAACTCAGGCCATAACTATTAATTTATTTGCAAAGCTTCTTACTTTTTAGCTGAAATAACAAAGACATGCCCTCAATCAACACAACATAAACTAAAAAATTTTAACACGATTAATTAGATGGTAATTAGGAGTGAAGATAGACTTACTTGCAGAGCTTCAAGAAGTTTTTACAAGTCAGAGGGCACTTGTCTGTATGCAAATCCACAACTATCTCTCCTAAGCTTGTCACTATAAGCACTGACATGGTCTCTCACTGCATTCAACCAATCTTTTCAATCCGTGTTTTTCGATAACAATTGAAGCTAAGCTGAAAACCTACTGATGCAAATCACACTACATATAGCCGAAAAATTCAAATTGGGCCAAATTTTATCCGAAACTTACGCTTTCGATAATTAATTTCCTAATATGTTTTCAATTTTTCATTCTAGAACAGAAATTGAGCACTTACATATCGAAAACAAACCCGAAAAAATTCATTACCTTGATATTAGATTGAAACTCTAACAACCCAATATTGCATTACAATAAAAGAAACCCCAAAAGATTATAGCTTTGACCTCCCACATTGAAAAAAGATCCTTTAAATCGAAAAATAACAGTTGGGTTTCTTACAAACCTTTCGATTTCCTTCGTTGAAGCTGCCTGATTGAAGATTGAAGTGATGTTCCCGTAATCCTTCTGCGATGTAACGACAGAGAAGGAGAAGAAATGAGGAATAAGATAAAACCTAAACCCTCAACAGGTAAGCAACACAAATTTTGCGGGAAATTTTACGATTGAAATGGGGGGGTCTGAAGAACTCACTCGATTCTTCGAGCTACGTCCCAAGCAATTGGAACAGTGAGAGAGAGAGAGAGGGGTCTGGGTACAAAGTTTGTTTTAATTTGGGGCCAAAATATAAAAAGCTTTGTTTAACCCAAATACTATTGGGCCCAGATAGTATTGGGCTCAGATACTATTGGGCTTATGTGTTTAACCCAAATACTATTGGGCCCAATACAAGTGGGCTCATGTGTTTCAAGCCTAATGTTTGTTTGGATTTTGGAGGGAAACCCAACGCAAATTTCGAAATAAGACAGCGACCCCGAAAAGGCAAAAATTGTGCTGAAAAAAAGGAAACAAATTTAAGAAATAAATAAAAAAAGAAAAGAAAAGGAAAGGCCGGAGGGTGGGAATTTATTCAAAATTAATAAAATGAAATAAAAAAATAAATAATAATTGCCGTTGCACCCAATGTGATATTTGAAGAAGGAAAATTCAATCGAAATTAAGCCAACAACCGCAACCACCGCGCGAAGATTCGAGAGTCGGAGGAGGAGGAGGAGGAGTCAGCTATGTCGCAGGGCAGTGGAACCGTTGTCGTCGTCGGCGGTGGTGGTGGGGGTGACGGGGGGCTGGAGTTTCAGCTGCCGGACGAGATCTTATCGGTTATACCGAGCGACCCGTACGACCAGCTGGATCTGGCGCGGAAGATTACGTCCATGGCCATAGCGTCTAGGGTTTCGAAGCTGGAGTCTGAGATGGGGAAAATGAGGCAGAAGCTCCAGGACAAAGATAGGGTTGTGTTTGAGCTGGAGGAAAGGGTTTCCCGCCTCCAGCACGCCAACCACGAGGCTGAGTCTCGCCTGAGAATTGCCCTGGATGAGAATGTAAGCATTTCAACCCCCAATTTTCCGTTTTTTTAAAAATTTATCTGCTTTTGTCTTTTGAATTTGAAATTTAGGAGTTTTCCCCCAAAATTTTTGTTTTTTTTATGTATTGTTTTGGCTGCTGAAAATTGATCGAAGTTTAAGAGAAGGAAGAAAATTTAATCTTTCTTTGTCTTTTGGGCGTGGGGAAAGGAAGGTGGTTGAGGGTTATCACAGTAGTCGTCTATCCTTTTCAATTAGCATCAAGTGATTTGACCAAAAAATTAGTATCCGCGAAATGTAAGACCTTGCCTCTGAATTTGATTCCGGTCAGAGTTTTTGGTTGGTTGGTTGCGGAGTGAATTGGTCGGAATTGTTAGAATTCATTTATTGTTTGTAATAAACATGCACATGAGTTTCTTTGGATTTGGTTTGTTGAAGAGGTAGTAATTTACTAATGCATTTATCAGAGTTACATCAACTTGTTGTAACAGTCGGTAAGGCGGATGCATCTTTTTGCTGTATTACTGTCTCTAGAAACAAAAGAATAGTACTGTTCAAGATTTGTGCATCTTTTTTCCTCGCAAACTTTATATCCTCGGCAATGAATGGTGCATCACCTTTGAGTTTCATGTTGAAACAAACTTGCATTAGTTGTGACTTTGTTACGTTCTTGTTGTTATGAAGTTGAAGGTTTCCAAGGAACGAGATTCATTGGCATTGACTACAAAAAAGCTCAGCCGTGATTTAGCAAAGGTGCGATTTGTTATTTGTTTAAAGGATGAGGCTTTTTTCTTTGTTGTTCAAGGATATCCTAATGTATGCACTATTCTTGTTGTGAAATTGAAGTTAACTCATAATTTATTTCCTTGTTCCTTCATCCTTCCACCTATCGTTATACTGCAAACGTATTTTCATTCTTGTAGCATGTTAACCTATGGACTGACTTTTTTATCCCTGTTAACAGTTGGAGACATTTAAGAGACAACTAATGCAGTCACTGAATGATGATAACGGATCCGTAAGCACTTCAGCTTATCCGCTTATGGTTTCTTATTATATATTTGGAAAATCTAAGTCTGTTATTTTTCTTCTAGTGATGGAGGTTTTCATGTGGATCTTTGTATTCTTGTTTATTTTTTCTTTATTCAACTCATTCGCTATATTTTCCGTTTTATAGCCAGCTGAAACTGTTGATATTGGCACAGTTCCTAAGGCATATCCTGAAAAGGGTACGGTATCTTTGACTTGATGAAGTGCTCCATAGTTTTCTGCAATAAATCAATGATGTTTAGCAATTTTTTCCCCAATGGTGTAGGTTCTAACTTTGCTTCTTGTATTTCCTTTCATTTGGCGGTTAACATGGATTGTTTCTCTGTTCTGCTACAGATGAGGAGACAAATGTCTACACTGGACAATATTCCTCAAGTGGTTCCACAGATAAGGGAGCAACTGATGAAGGTATATAGTCTGACTCTACCCTCCATGGACCTCTATCCTGCCTGTGTGCTACCTGTTAGAACAAGTAACATTGCAAAATACATTTCCGAGGTATATTTTTTGTTGCATTAGAAAAGAACATATGAACATATGAGGACCATGAGGTGGGTGATTAATGAATTTTTTCCTAGTACTTCTACCTAAATTATCTCAATTTGTTATTATGAAGTAGCAGATTCAAATATTATTCAGTTATTCTTTTTACCGAAACTCATTGACAGCCTTGAAGAATTCTGGTCAAGGATTTTCTCTGACTCCATATATCACTCCGCGGCTTACTCCAACTGGAACTCCAAAGATTATTTCCACAAGTGGGTCACCTAGAGGGTATTCTGCCATTTCTTCTCCTCAGCAATCCTCTGGTGCCACATCTCCCCAAAAACCCGCCTATAAAGAACGGAGTTCATTTTCTTCATGGTACTCGTCAAGCCAGCAGTCATCAGCAGCAAACTCTCCACCTCGTGGACGTTCACATTCAGGTTTGGAATTCGTTCTTTCATCTGAATTTGGGAATCTCTGGTTCTCTGTGGCCTGTTTTATCATTTGCCACAAATATGGGATTATGCCTCGAAACCAACCCCTCCCCCCTCTTACTCCAAAAGTAAAAATTTCTGCGTCTGTCTGTACAACAGTCAGTTGTTGATAAAAGTATATGAACACTCTCTTCTACTATGTTGAATTATCTTTTGGAATTAAAACTCTTCATCTTCTGCATTGCAAATTTGGTAGGGCGTACTCCTAGAATTGACGGAAAAGAGTTCTTTCGTCAAGCCAGGTTGGTACAATTAATGCAATTCCTGTGTACTGTTACTGATTTGTTCGTATGGCCCTTCATAGACTGATCTAAATATACTGCAATACAGGAGCCGTCTATCATATGAGCAGTTCAGTGCATTTCTGGCTAACATCAAGGAACTAAATGCTCATAAGCAAACCAGAGAGGTAAAGCACTAGTCAATTGTTTGATGGTTTACCAAATGATACAACTAAACATCTAGAAGACCATTGTTTACCAAAGTAGTTAAAATTTTGTGTACATATCTTTTTCAGGAAACTTTAAGGAAAGCAGAAGAAATATTCGGGACTGATAACAAAGATCTTTATTTATCATTCCAAGGACTGCTTAACCGCAATATACACTAGCATTTACATTACAGTTGCTTGGTACTGATAATAATCGGTATGTCTACCTTAGTTTCTCTCTCTCTGCTTTCATATCTGTGTGTGCACATGCTAGCCATATTGATGTAAAATATACAATATGGGGCTCCAGACATCATTGTTATGAGTTGCATGAGATGGCACACCGTTTATGCCTCAAATTGACATGTGACAATGGACAATGTATGGGCCCTTAATAACAAAAATCAGTTATCTTTGACTTTTCTAAGTCGTGAAATCCATAAGTGATGGGTTTTATGCCTTTGAGTTTTCATTATTTTAAAAATACACCACCGATGTTTATCCTTCTGAATTATCCTGTATGTTGAGTTCATCATTGGGCCCTGTCAATGAAGACAAACTATCAAGTTCTTTTTGACAGGTTGTGCAAAAGTTGTTCGCAGATTCCTTTGTTAGGCTGTGGGTTGAGCTTGTTCTTGGCTACTTTGGTCCTTTGGATGGAAGGTCCATGGGTTGTCCTCTGAGGCATATCAATTTTTGAGATGTAATCAACATCGAGTTGAGTTCATGCAAACTAGAGTAAGGTTTTGTAGGCTTGAGAATGTCATAGAATGCAGGTATGCTATGTAAATAATTGCTTTATCGTTCAGATTATACCTGCTTGTTCATTTGAAACAGAACTAATTGACATTACCTTTTTGCGGTTGTCATTTGTTGACCTTGGATGTAAAGTTGGAGCTCTCTTTATTAGATTGAAAATTGCAATATCTAACTAGTTTATGTGGTTTCTTAAATTAGTTCAACCACCGTGCAAATTTAGGGTTGGTTTGGTATTGCTGTGCTTTGAAAAAAAGCTGCTTCTGCTGTGCTGTGAGAATAAGCAGCTGTAAAATAAAGTGTTTGGTAAATTTTTTTTGTAAAAGTGCTTTTGAAAAAAAAAAATATTATAGTGCATGGTAAACTTTTATGTAAAACAGATGTGAAAAAAAATCGGTTTTTCAAAGTTGGGTTTTGCAGCTTTGTGTTTTTGGCTTTTTTTCATCCAAAACTGTGAAAAAAAGCTGAAGCTGAATGTTTACCAAACACAAAAAAGCTCTTAGTATTTTTTGATACTCGCTTTTTTTTAGAATCACCTCAGTACCAAACCAGGCCTTAGTCCTTGTTTTGTTTGGTCATCGTCATATCCACTCACATTTATCACCATTATGCTGCATAATGTGTTTGAGCTGCATGATAATGTTGAGTTGTTACCAACTGTCGAGGGGATTGATGATCAGTGTAGATTGTAGAATAAGTTCCTAGTCAATGTGGCACAGAAACTGGGAAAAGCATCTCCTATAGTTTGTCTCTTTGAACAGCTGTAGTGACTTGGGATGTATGTAATTTTCCAAGAGCATAGCATAATATCTACATCTCAACGTTTTAACTGGTCGTGAACATTTCGTGTGGAGCTATTAGATTTGAGTTACTTAGATTTGAATGGTTGGTTATCTCGAATCCATGTCGTGATCCTGTGGTGATAATTTGATGTAATGTTTTTTTTAGCCCTGAGTTGATTATATGATCCAAGATGTGCGTGCATTAGCGGTATTTTCTGTCTGCTTTTCGTAT